GAGCCGTAGAGAGATTGGCTCTGGATTGGTCTACCGCGTACAGCGCGTGTCGGAAACGAAATGCCCATTGCTATGACGGAATACAGACCTGGAGACTTGTCAATACATGGAAAAGATGGTATCGATTGTACCTAACCAATTCGAGCTGGAGTCTGATGATGAAACAGTTGAACTGGCTGATCGACAAGAGACTGGGTGCTCGCGAGCACCCTTCTGAATGCTAAAATGACAAATGGGACACCCTACGGTCTCGTGGACTTAACGGACATGCGCACGCGGCAGCCATTGTAAGTCCGTAAGACCACAAGTGCACATGAAGTGTTCCATTTGGGACAGGGCCTGAATCGGGTGTGTTAACTAAGAGAGACATGCAAAATATGCAGAGCTGGGGGGCGCGAGGACAGGAATTGGGAACCGCTGGGCTACATCATGTGTCAATTACCCGTGAGAAAACTTTAAAAGTACTACAATACCAGGAAGGAAGATTAACTTAATGATTGCTATCGTGATGTGAAGAGACTTTCAACCAGCATAACAAAAAATGTTTCTGAAGACAATCACCTACTGCACCTTTAACAAGTTTGTGGTAATTATAAGATGTGATAAAACAAAATAACTCTCACAGCGTCTTCTCTGCATGATGTTAACTACACGGAAATGTTACTGTTTGTGGGCGGGCAAGTTCGCAACGTAGAACGTGGGCAGACATTATGCAAATGTGTAACTTCGTGACGTAGACACGTAACAGAATAAGATTCGAATTCCTGATGACTCGATTGCGAGCCGACTCTTTTTTTTTTGATAGACAGTAACATTATTTATCGTACACTGTCGGCTTCACAACTTTGCAGATAAGTTTATGAACGCATACAGCTACATGACACACTGCATGAAAGGTAATATTCGAAAAGGCATAATAGGGGCACTTTAAAGACTGTAAAACTATCCCTCACACCCTTGTTTTCATCTACAAGAATTTATTCACAGGGAATTTATTTTGCATTTGATTCTGTTCATGTAAATTTGTTGTGAGATAAAGTACAGTTAATTAGTGCAACGCTGATCACACTGCACCACACAATAACTTCATATAAGATTCATGCTATGAAACTTTATATGCCTTCAGAGTTGAGGAAAGTAACTATGTTTCTTAGCTCAGTCAGTATAACTTGTTGAACAGAGGCGTGAAGACCCAGGTTACGTCTATAATAAGAGTGAGCTTGTTTTTTGTCAGGTGGCTGAGCAACTCCCATTTTGTGTTTGGATTTGTCTGCACAGCCTGCTCTGAAAGCACTGACCCTCATAAAGCCTCTGTATTGACGCAGGCAAAATGAGGCTGTTTACAGAGCGTGTGGAACAGACTGTTCTTTCAGCTGCATCATTCTCAATATTCTTGCTCATGTGTGTCTTTTTGGTCATTTATTTTAAGAAACTTCTCGCTTTCAATCTTTTTCAACATTGTTTTCACAATGCTGTTTTTCTTTTATGTTCTATTTCTGCACACTCATTTTGTTTGGAGTCTCTTTGGGATTACGTGTTGATCTACTCCAATACTGTGCACTATGATGTTGGCTCCATTGTTAGGTTGTTTCTAGTCTTCTGTACTGTAGCCAGACCTTCACAGTGACAGCAGAAGGTCTGGACTACATAGCGGCTATCATTGGCCAAGGGCTGCCTGACATGTAAAGTGACCACTCACAGTTTGTTTTGTTCATCTCCAAGTTTGGGGGCATCCAAATGTAAAGTCGATGTCCCTATAATAAGAGACCGGCATGCAATTAATTCAAGAATGTTGTGCAAGATTACTACATTAATGGTGCTGTGAACTTCACATACTTTTCAAAACCCAGTGCTTAGTTGATCCTGATAAGCACTTACTGTCACAGCTGTAAACACAATGGCTTTCTTATTCCAATAAGGGGTTTGGTGTCATGTCGGCTTTGTTTCTAGGTGGACCCATCTTCCAGAAATCCAATGATGACTTCGAAACTCCTGAAGTGTTATTCTATTTTGTGTGCTATGTGCATCAGACATTCAGCCAGTGGTCCAAGTGTGTGACATCTGAAGCTGAGACTAGGTTGTTTCACTAGTATGTATAGTATATAATCTTTGCTGTTACATAACTTGGTTTGTTTGTTCTGTTTAGATGCACTTTTATGTTTATTCTCTGTAAAGCACAATGAGCTGAAAAAAAAATATAGAAGCATTTTTTTCACTCCAAAATTGCTAGTAAATTTCACAATTAATTCAAAATAAACAGCAAGTAACACATTGAATTACACATTGAATTACAAATAACACATTGATTTTTTTTACAGTGTCCTTAAAGTAAACATTATTATTATTATTATTATTATTATTATTATTATTATTATTATTATTATTATTATATAATCAACAACAATTGCATTGGATGGATGGGCAGACATAAGAGACGACCCACTAAATGCACAATTTAAATTAATTCATTCATTCATTCATTCCTTCATTCATTCCCCTACGTATTGTTGAAATGGGACCAGTCATCCATCAAAGGCAGATGCATCTTAGAATTTTTTCACAGCGACTTTAACACAAAGATGCATGCAAAACAGACGGTGTGTAATGATATGGAACACTCTGTTATGGAAAATCTGTCTTCTTAAAATGTGAACGGCCTGGGATGTTTTCATATTTTTTTTTTTTGGTTAATTTAATGTTAATTGGTGATATTTCAACAGTTGTTCTCTTGAGGCTCAGCAGCAGAGTACTCATCTCAAGAGCCTCTTTTAGCCAAACAGAGGTGTTTCTTTATTCTGAATGCAAATGTCAGAGTCTGTCACTGAACGCTTTACAGCGTCTTTCCTCATTTATCTCTAAAGTCTCTTTAAAAAGGTCAAATCCCTCCATTAGATGCTGGCACTTTTAGATCTCGCCAGCAATTTGTACAGTTTCATTTAATGGTGGGTATTCTCCTACCTTAAAATTTGTTTTGTTTTGTAGTCATTTTTTAAGGATTTATATTGATGCTTCATGAAGCATTTCAGTGCAGGTAAACCCTTTTATATCACTTCACATGTCATTGAGCTAGCGTTAATATCATAGTCCGATTCCTGACAATGTCTGAAGTCTGATTTTTTAAATAATTTTTCTTTATTCCCTCAAAAAGGGAATTGTATCATAGTACACTATGCAAATACACACACATCAGTTCTATTTCAAGAGCTGTCAATACCCAACCCATCTGATGTCGCCTGCATGACTGCACTGACTTGAAGCTGAATAGGGAATACGCTTCACATGTGATGCGGTAAACTGGTGAAAAGGAAATAAAAATAACACTAGTTAAACTTGAGCAAGCGTGCTGCTAATCCGACGCTGAACATATGGAAATTGTTGGGGCCTCAGAGCAGAAAGAAATGCAAATGGATTAGTGTGGAAATTGCTTTCCAAATTGTCGTGTTTTGCTCTTATCGGCATCCTCACTGGAATTATTTGATAAACTAGGATCACAAACAAACATTCTAACACTGATGTTTGGATAGAATTAATTTTTTGTCATTGTTTACTCATATTGTTTTTGCATGATTTTCTTTCTTCTTTGGCATACAATATATGAACGCACAAAATCTTGATCAGCTTGAGTGTTTGCAGTTTAAAAGGTTAAATAGAGAGAGAGAGAGAGAGAGAGAGAGAGAGAGAGAGAGAGAGAGAGAGAGAGAGAGAGAGAGAGAGAGAGAGAGAGAGAGAGAGAGAGAGAGAGAGAGAGAGAGAGAGAGAGAGAGAGAGAGAGAGAGAGAGAGAGAGAGAGAGAGAGAGAGAGAGAGAGAGAGAGAGAGAGAGAGAGAGAAGTAGTGACATAAGGGTACTTGTGAAAGAAAGAAAGAAAGAAAGAAAGAAAGAAAGAAAGAAAGAAAGAAAGAAAGAAAGAAAAAGAAAGTTGTGCGACTGAGCATTGTTACATGAAAGAGCAGACGGAGAGGTAGAAAGATAAGAATTCATACACAGAAACAGGATATTACTGGTGCTCTCTCATATAATTAGTCTCATCATCTGGAATGACATCCTCCCTGTTTCAAATAAACATTTCTTGGAAATGAGGGTGTTTTGTGTTTGTCCATCCATGACAAGTGAAGAGACTCTCTCCAGTGAGGTACAAAGATTATGGCACATTACACTGCATCCACACACCCATACAAAATAACAGAAAAAAATATATAATAATTGTAATGAAAACAAGCTTTGAGCTTTCAAACGCATACCCACTGCCAACATGTCATGTACTATTATAGTAAAGGCACATTGTGTGTGGATAGATAGGCCATCTGACAGTGTGGAGTATGCTATATACTCTTTATGGAACTGGAATAAATCCTATTGTGACCACAGAGCTGCAGTTTTGCTGTAAAATATTCTGATATAACTTCATGAATAAACTACATAGGCCGTCCTGGGGGTTGAAGTCACATAGCTGTAGAAAATAAAATGGATGTCAAAGCAAAATAAATCGCCATTTTAAAGACAACATGATATATAGTTCAATCCAAACAACTTGGTATATAAGCGCAGAAAGCAAAAACATGTAC